ATATGTTAGCGCAATGTACAACAAACAGATTTTGATAATTATGTAGGCATAAATTTATTAGCTTGCTATTTGTTTTCCTAACCTACACATATATCCACCAACTATTCTGGTAACAAATGCAACGCACACGCAACGAATGGCTGCAGTTGAGAAAAAAGAGTACAAAACCTTACAACCTGCCTACGTATGACCGTCGCAAATTGAAAGCAATGGCTATACCAAAGATATCAATGTAGATCCGGTCAGGCCCTCTATATTAAAGATATAATTTCTGTATAATTATATCGATCGGTGCAGATTCATCTATCCTGGTTTCAAAACTATCATAATATGTCATATTATTTTTATCCTGTTCACAATGACACACGATGGGAAATGGTGTCATATGGACTGTGACGCCAGTTGTAAGACTTGTGGACCTGGCTCCTCCTTCCTAGCTATCATGGATCTATTCTTCTAAATAGTCCATTAAATGGGTTGGTAATCAATTTGAACAATTCAAACTTCTCTAAATGAGCGAAATAAATTACAAATCTGTTTTTGAGGCATCCGCTATTGTTCAATGATTGGTTAAAAACAGAATTCTTAGATAGCAAAATGAGAATATATTTTAATTATAGATAGTGTTCTGGGTTAATTTCTCACAAAAACGCGTTATCAGAATGAGAATATCAACAGTTTGATCCCATTTTCAATCAAGATTATACAAATGTTCTAAATATAGTACTAAAGCCTTGCTTGTCTAACTGCACTTGATGGAACAGTTTGTATTGCTGCAAAAACTAAGCCACAACATCTCAACATTTGTCATAGGCTAACATGCTTTCTTTCGGTATAGAAACCTAGTTCTTTTTCTTTTAGGTATGTCGCAATGTATCAGACCTAATACAGATATTACTGATTTATGTAATATCGAATTCAAATTAATAAACACATACTGTACTAAAATATAATGTTTTTATATTGTCTTATGTTGTTTCAGGGGCTATTGGTTGACTTATGTATAATTTATTATCATATGTTTTACTCTCCCTCCACAGCAGCAGGTACAACCACTGCTCTTGAACCAACACCTATATTATACGTTCTTATTTCTCCTTTCTTTACTTGTTAATTATTAGTCCACATCCACATCATTTAAATATAAACTAACTTGTATTAAACTTAACCCAAATGGTATACAATTAAAATCTTCATGTTCACTTCCATTTTAAAAATCATGTTTATGTATTTTCAATAAAATTTGTTTAATTTAAAATTCCTCCAGATTCGCCTGAGACTATTATAATTTTACGTTGATGGCAGCAGATGGGTTGTTGACAAGGGCAACGCAGAATGTCAATTCAGAATCTCCCTTCATCTTCCAATATGAAACATTACCAAGGATTATTTCAAAAAAGATGCCAAATGTCAGATTAATATTTGATCATAACGTAGGATTGATATTGATGTTCACATAGGCATGACTCAATACAGATGCGTACTAAAGTACGTCAACGAATCGTCATGTTGGCGGAGCTGGGGGTGGGATTTGATATTAAAGCACCTTTTAACACACTCCTTAACACAGGAACCATCAGTCTTTTAGTCAAATTTCGTTTAGCCTAAATTATGTGGTTCTTTGAAAGCATATCAAACTTGCGGTTACACACTCGCATAATAATGTGTTATTACTCAAATTTAAGTTAACTGTCGCAACCGATAGGATAGCAGGAACATTAGTTGATAAAAAAAAAAAAAATCAGGCAATAAGAATACATTTAGCAAATCTTCAGCTGTATTTAAGTGCATCAACGATAATATTAGCTACCGGTATTAATACTCAGTATTGAAAAGGGTTTACCGAGTTACGTTTCAAATGTTACAGCACGTCAGTAATTAGTGTCTAATTGCCTAATTCACTTCCACTCCCGTCGACAAAGGCTAACGAAACACCATAAGTGTGCTTCATAGTCTTGCTTAAGTATTTTTTTATCCTTGATATTTAATTTGAAATTCACTTAGTCCCACTTTCTGAAATAATCGAAGGCATTATTTAGCGCTTATCGGATGATCTTTCGGGTCTGATCCGTCCGTACGTGGGAGGCTTTAGCATGTTAATGATTAATCTAGTGTTTACTCATTCATGTTTGTCCTTATTGAGTACCACGCACCTTCTATTGGTCAGGGAAAAATCAGTAGTAAATTGATACAATAATGGTGTATTTCCGCAAGTAAATTAATTGTATTGTTACAGTAGCTTTCTTGAGATTTTGTTCACATTCACGGCAGAGTAACGTTCTTCTTGTCGTAGAGGGCGTAATAAATACATATCCGTGATGAGATGAGTTCTAAGCATCTCGTTAAAATTCTGTGAAGGCGTATTATCGAAGCTCCTATGTTCACAGTGGACTCAACTTGGTGAAAGAAAACAAAAGGCGTAAGAGGATAGGTTGTTAAGAACGCAACGCAGGACTGCAATTGACGCCGAATCACGTTTGTACATAGCTGCTGGTCTGAGTAAGTTATACTGCCATTAATGCATTTCATTTTGAACAGACGAATTTCGTTGAATTTCAGTAAGTTATTGACCTATGTATCTAAATATCGATAAAAACAGATGAAAAGTATAGGCCTATTTACACAAGTCATAATATCGAACGTTTAACCCACGTAGATTCCTATCAGTATAAGCTTGCATGGAGTATTTTATATTACATAATGTACAGGCCATGTTAACGTTTATGGACCTACAAAATTCCGGTTAGCCTACCTTGTTTTTAATATCAATTGACACCTCGAAAAGATAGGCCTATCCGTGACACGGGATGTTCAAAAATTGTACCGTAGTTGATCCCTTTTGAATAGGTCGGACTCATGGCATTTCTTTTTGACGTCTGATTAGTTACAAATAGTCAAGTCAAAAATACACTTAGGCTATAAATCAGTCATTACTGTAATTCCTCAATAAAACACATTTAGAAAACCTAATGATGATGATTATAATGATAATAATAAGAATTTAAAAACATATAATAATAACAGCAGACCATAATAAATAATGATAATAATACTAGCAATAATAAAGACTATACAAAACACTGATTATTATTTATTATAATATAAAAATATTATTATTAACATAAATTTTAATAGTATTAATATTAATAATAGGTTTTATATAAAGTTACCAAGTGGGATTCAGTAGACTTTTAAACAGTTTATCGACTGTGTGGTAAGTACTGCATTACAGTGAGCATGTACATTGCACTGGTTATATGTCATGAACACTTCATGCCACACACTGCCTCCCGGTCAGTCACTATAATGTTGAGCTCAAGGTGATTTTTTTTTCATTATCGTTGGCTTGAGTACTGATGGCTAAAAATATACAACTGTACAAACAAAAGGTACTGCAACATAAAACCTGTCTCTTATACACATCTAGATGTGTATAAGAGACAGTATATATACATGTATATATATACATATTCGTAAATATAGATAAAATAAGTAAACATAAATATATTATAGGCTTATATATATATATATATATATTTATATACAGTATATTTATATACAGTATATATATATTTTACGGCAAAATAACGATATAACACTTTATGATTTAAATATATATTTTTTAAATAGGCTTATTTGTATTGGTTTTTTCCCCTCTGAACATCTCAAAGCCTTCATGTTATTACCCATGTCATTAGAAACAGTGAGAAACTTAAACAATATGCAGCCACCTGAATTCCCTGAAGGGTATTACTAGTAACAGCCAGGCCTATATGAATATTCAGCATAAACCACATACGTTTAACTTAAAATATTCCCATATCATCATACAATAAATTGAACACTCAGTCAAGAGAACGACAGTCCGAGAGCACAAGTATCGATTGATAAATGACATAATTATATTATAGTATAATATAGGTCTATTACATATAATATTTAGCTGTAAAGGTCTCTGAAAATTGGATTATTTTCATAATCTTGTTCAAATATTTGTCTTACAGAAATGAGTATTAATATATTTCCAATATTAAAATACTACGAGTCATACTCATTAATAATTAAAACATGTTAATGCGATTTTTCCCTCTCATACTGTAAATGGTTGTGTTTTATGATTCCTTATTTGATGGTTGGCTTTCGACGCTATCAATGTACAGTATCTTACTACTTTACACAATCAAATATAATAAATTAGTACTGTGCGTGTTCTTAATTACAAATTAAAGAGCTCAACATTTGACCCCTCATTTTCATCCTAATTGTAATATTTGCATATAAGTCACCATACTAATTATCATACCTTGTTACAGAATTCACATCAAGTGATTATAACAAAACCCAAAAATATCAAGTATTATTTAAGAAGAGAATAAAGAAAGAAAAAAAACAAGATAATAAAAATGCAGCTCAGGAATACTAAGTTTAATTCATGTTGAAGCTCCGACCGTAACTAATTTGCTAGCATATTTAGTTGTAAGACAACATGACATTTGCTTAATAGATATCCCAAGGTATTACAGTCATTTAAAAAAAAAATACTAACATTATGATATGTTATTTTATTTAATTTTAATATAAAATGTCCAAATTATGTTATATTAGGCCTTGTACATGGTGCATGTTTTTTTATCGGCTTATTACATAATATAATCATGACTAACAAGTGTAGCCATGATTCTGCTTTGGAACTTCATATAAAGTCCACTGCGTGGACGAAATCTAGATACATAGATACATAATAATGGAAATTTGTATAGCGCCGGTATCCGTCGCTTATGGCGCTTTGCTGTATAAACTAACAGAATAGAGCAACATAGTTTTATATTTGTTTCCGTGCATAGGAGCCCTTTAAAGGTTTTCTTTCTACATTGATAGTTTGAACTTGATTGACTAGTAATCAGTGCTTGTTGTGCTATTTAGACGGAAACTGCGATTCGATTGGTCAAATCCAGCGGAGCCAGTGGATTATAGTTGGATGACAGGACATTCGGTTGCAATCTTAAAAATTCGCAATTGATTTCAATGGTCTTTGGTTGAGTAGCAGTTGAACAACATAATTTCTGATCTATTTAGGCCCATCTAGAGATATTCTACCAAGAAAATATTTTAAAACATAGTATTAAAGAAAAATTATTTAATAATATATATAATCTTTTATTCTATCATCACGGTAGTATTTAGAAAATGTACAAGTACGGAGCATAATAAACAACAGTAATCCCGAGTGCTTTAATAGAACACTCGTATAGTAAATTGCATACCAGTAAATTGTATATCGGTAAATTTACTGTACCCCACCCCTTATCATTTATAGCAGATTTATAATGTTGACTGTGTGTTGGTACAAATATGAATTTAGGATCTGCTACAATGGTTTATGTCTGATCATTAAATGTGACCTTTGCATTGGACAGAATTTAGCAGTGATAACGATATATTTATGCCGTTAAATTTACTGAGAATTTACCGTAGTGGTGACTTTCTTTTAGAGTTTGAATTAGAATAAGCAAAATTGTTAACTGTGATAATGTGAATTTGATCTGCGGAGCTACAATACACTGTACAATTACAACTTTGTAACGTTATAGGCATATATAATATAAATATATCTACACAAATAGATAAATAATAATAATAATAATAATAACAGTGATATACATATTAATTTCTGAAGGCTCTTGTTCCATTTCTGACTGTTGACTTACGTTTACTTTTTGGCTTTTTGAATTTTATATTCCTACTGAGATCTAGCCGTTTCCCCTAGCTTTGTTTGTTTTATTTTTTCAGTATTTTGCCTTTTAACACATGTATATATGCGTATTAAATGTTTTATACATATGTATATATATAATAATAATGTGCCAATTATATATAATATAATATAGTAATGTGCCAATTTTTCGAAATACAAATGGCATATATATAATAAAAATAATCAATAATAATAGATATATAAAAATAATGTGCAAATTTTCGTACGTGATGCAAATGGCCCAGTAATACAATTTTAAAAGTTCAATAACATGTATTCACTATCACCTTGACAGGTTATAGTGAATTTGACAACTTGATCAATTCAGGAGATGCAGTTCTGCCGATGCAAATAATATACGTTCCCATATCTGGTGTGTCTTATATAATGTTATATATAAGTATATATAGCCTTATATACACCAAGTAATTTTAATTATACACCAAGTAATTTTTCCATTAAAACACCGATTGACTATTTGGTATTTGGTAATTCGCATCATTATCATCATTCTTATTATCATTATCTTTATTTTCATGGTCATCATGTTTCATCATTATAGTAGTCGTCGTTTCGATCATGTCCACCCGCTGGGGATTTTGTCAATACAACAGACCATTCCGGAGTGTCGATTAAACTTAACAACTGACCAATCAGAATATTGCAAAGAATACGCGCTTGTCCCACGAACACACGTGACCCACAAATTCAAGTACGTGTTTACAGCCTGGTTCTCACGAGAGCCATAGTATCCGGATCGGGAGCTAACCGTTAGCGCTAATCGTTAGCACCTGCGTGAGAACGCCCGATCGCTTAGCGCTAACCGTTAGCAGTATCCGGATACCGCTAACGGTTAGCAAGCGCTATCGGTTAGCAAGTTGAGCGCGTTTTTATCATCAACCAAGCACACGTACGCGTTTACAATTTCTAGTTTCTTATTGGCCAGTGATTCGATCATCATATTTTAGGTATCCGGATCGGGATTTTCTCGTACGGACGCACGGCAGCTAACGGTTAGCAGGATCCGGATCCTGCTAGCAGCCGTGAGAGAACATAGCCTACGTACGTTTACGCTATATTTTTTGTTGAACCTTAGCAACAATATCCAAGGGGTGGGGCCTTAGCGAAAAGGTCCATGGATTTATATTATAATATTATTCTAATATAGGTGTATTTCGTAGCTCTCATTAGGCCATACTTGTTAAATTCATACACAGTTGAATACAAATTACATGCATGTTTTAAAGTCAACTCTAGGCTAGTTTTATAAATGTTTATTAAAAAAGATGTTTGTTGGTTTCTTAAGCTCTGTCGACACTATCACTCTTTATGTGATAAATATGGGCATGATGATGTCATATCACACCCATAAATGGGCATAGTGATGTCATATCACACCCATAAATGGGCATGATGATGTCATATCACACCCATAAATGGGCATAGTGATGTCATATCACACCCATAAATGGGCATAGTGATGTCATATCACACCCATAAATGGGCATGATGATGTCATATCACACTCATAAATGGGCATAGTGATGTCATATCACACCCATAAATGGGCATGATGATGTCATATCACACCCATAAATGGGCATAGTGATGTCATATCACACCCATAAATGGGCATAGTGATGTCATATCACACCCATAAATGGGCATGATGATGTCATATCACACTCATAAATGGGCATGATGATGTCATATCACACCAATAAATGGGCATGATGATGTCATATCACACCCATAAATGGCCAAACCGAAGACCTGACGTCATAGAACGTGGTAATGTGGACAGTGCCTCGGACTTGTAGGCGACATCGTATATTAATTCTAAACATCATTTTCCAGCGAAGAACTTTATTTGATTAGAATGCGGGTGTTTATTCTTAAGAAATCGTGCCAACGGTTACAAATTCTGATGTTTTGTTACTCGATTTTTAATCAGTTCTATAAATACTCAGCGAACGACCTGAATTCATGTTTGGTAGATCACTGAAAATAGATAAATCTTCATGTACACATTACTAAACTCTCTTATAGTGTAATAACTTTTGTGAGGTGAGGATGACCAGCTGATGTCATATAAGATAGGATGCTTTTTCAATCGACCTACCTGACTTCTAATCTATCAACCTTATTACTGCCTAAAGTGTCGGAAATTTTACACAAAAGAAAACCGTTTTATCAAATATTGTGCTTCGAGAATTAAATATATTTATTCTTATTTCAGGGAAAGGACTTGAATTGCTAAGGATTTTTTTCTTTTTTTATTGAAGCACACGCAATATATTATGTAAGTATAAGTATTAAATACTACCATATTTAGATCAAAGTGTTATTCCATACTATTAAAAAACATTAGTATTAATGAGCGACTTAAGTTATCTGAATTGACATTCTCGAGGAGTTGACATCCTCTCTACTCCTCTAGGCAAATGAGTGAACCACAGAGGTAAAGCAACGTACTAATTATATAACACGAGTCAAATGTATAATCATCAAATGTCTTAACAGAAGAGGTTCTGAGTTGATGTTTGAAAAATGTGGAAAAGGTTTGAAGCAAATAGTCTGTAAATTTACCATTCTCGTTTTAGGTTGTCTTCACTGACAATACTGGTAAATCAAAAGATGTGCTTACTACTGAAGACGTTTGTTCTTGTCGCAGCCATAACGCTAGTCAATGGAAATTACTGGGAACAGCCTGGTTGTCACGTTGTCGGTGAGTGAATATCATTCTCAGTTTTAACGTAGTTAGATTGAGGTGACAATAGTTAGTGGGAGCAGTCGGTACACTTACATTTTCCATTAGCAATATTGGAAATAGGTAGCGCAAAGAGAACACCTTTTGACGTCATCTTTTTTTTTAATTTGCCAAATCTCTTTGATTACACACAAACCGACCTAATTTTTTTGTTTCTATTTCATCATATAGACGATATCCGTTCAAAATAAATAAAATATTAACATATAGAGATTTCGGATAAAACATAATTAAAAAAGTATATATAATTATTAACATTTGATTTCCTATTATTAAATGAAGAGGCACAACTGGACCGCTTGTAAAATATAATGATTTCACACAGTGATAGGTATATATTGTATATTGATTGGCTATCGAAATTTTATTAATTGCAATAGATCTATTTAACTTATTTAAATATATACTTAATTATAATAATAAATAATTAATATATAGGCCCAAATTATATGTAAAATAGTGAATATTGTGGTAGGCTGATTAAAACAAAACATGACGTAAATACCATATTGAGCGTAGCCTATCATCTTTAAATTTCTACGACAGTGCTTAATTAATAATATTACTAATCACTATCAACTTCACCATTGCCATCACCTCAACCATCAACACTATAGCCATCAACATCACTACCATCATCACCATTGCTATCACATTCATTATCATCTTCACACCGTCATCATCATCACCTATTACCCCACCATTACCTATTTAAAAAAATGTTAATGAAATAATGTAACTACAATTTTATAATGTTTGCATTTAGTGTGTTTTTAATATTCATGCAATGTTATTAATATTATTATTATTATTATTATTATTATTATTATCATCATCATCATTATTATTATTATTATTGTTATTATCATGATTGTGTGCCCTTTTGTTTTCTTTGCTTGTTTGTATTTTATGTGTTTTATGAGGAGACCCTTTTTATAGTTTTATTCAGTTCGCTGTTGGGAGTCTTATCTCGGTTGATCTTGTTTGTTGTTAATGGGTTTTTTTCAAGACGAATAAAGGAAATGAAACGGAAATGAAACCATCATCATTATCACAATTAACTTGACAATAATCACCATCACCCCATCACCATCATTACACCATCACAAACATTACAATCACTCTTACTACACCATCATCACCATTCGTCGAGAAGAAAAAAATAACTTTTTTATTTATTTTCTACATATTAGTAGACTTTATCTATCTATAAAATCTATTTTAGCCTTTCAAATCCCTAAAGTCATATTTTTCGGGGACTTCGCCCCTGGACAACTTGCGAGACATTTTGAGCGACGCCCGACCACGCCCACTTTGCTTTCGTCGGGACATCCCCCCCCCCACCGTCGGGCAAATCCTGGCCCCATCATCACTATCACCATTACCATCACAATTTAAAGTATTAGTCCCACTGTTACTCTTACTATTAATTTTAATATCAATAGTATTATTACCATCATCATCATCATCAACCTTAAAGCGGTTTTATGACATAATTAATTAAAAGCTTGTGTTAATCAATCAATGGCCATTGAAAATAGAAACATCAGACATTGACTGGCTATTATATAGCGCGTATCACTGAACCTTATGGTGCACTGTACGCTAAAACTATGCATGCACTCATGACAGAGTCAGATATGCTACCACATTTTACCATAGGCCTAATGCTTCTAATGGTAAAGAAACAATGTTGTACATTGTTATTTTTGCAGAACGCCATTTAACTAGACTTTAATAGACAATTTAAGTTAGCTAAAGCATGAAATTAGGTCTAATATTTTTTTGAGAACAATTTCAGTTAGACAGCTCTATCTAACGGGCTGCAAACGACTAGCCCCAAGCTTTCCTTCCTACACTCAGCATAGTATGTCCGATCTATCAACTCCTTTACAATTCATCGTCTCCTCTTTATTTACTATATATAGTACCGTAGGTTCGTATAATGATGATGTAGGCCAATTCTCAGTTTCATACTGACGTATCAGGCGCAGTTGATATTAGCATGGTAGACGATATTTTCACAAGTTTTGACCTATGAAGACAGAGAAAAGAGCGGCCTGACTTTTGATTCACACTAAGTGGTCTCTATTTTGAAGAGTCAGTCAGATTCGAAACGTCAGATATCAGATATTTTTGATACGTGAATGTCGAGACAGGTTATCAACAATTCTGGCGATCGATCAGTCTTCACATTCACACTGGCAGGAGGCTGAAAACAGCACAAATGTAGGCCTATATCTGATAGGTTATATCGTAAGTTGAGACCTTATTCGTTAAAGAACAGGGTGTTTAAGGACACAGTAACAACATTGCAGTAAAGACACTATTTAATAGTAAAGAATCTAACGACGAATTTCATTTGTCCAACAAAAAGCACTAACATTTTACATACATGAATACGAATATGAAGAATTGAATGCACATTTGTTTTGAATATTTTATGATAAAAATAAAACAAAATTCAAGCAATATTAATTAAAATAATCGTCGTAATAATTTCTTGCAAAAGGTTTGTTCTTATTTCATCATTTTCTAGCAAAATGTTTGTTCAAGTTCATCTTGTATCTTGTATTATTCAACATCAAGTAGGCCCATGTCTACTTTGTTTACTCACACCAGTGCTGACCAGATGACTTCTTCTTAGTGTTCCCTGTTGAGCAGTGTATTAACGAGAGCTATCCCAGACAGTCTTGTCAATTCTATTGACGTTTTAATGGTAATTTTAGGTCTATTATAAACTCACAAATCACAGGATTTAACTACGTTGAAGTATCTCAAAGGTAAAGGTAGGAGAATAACCCCTAACTGGCAGCGTCACTGAATTGCGCACGGGCGTGGTCCGTGAGCACATAGCTTCCGTAAAGAGGCGCTTATAATAGATACTGTACATATTCACATAATCCATAACGACAGGGGTTGAAATAAACCATTGCATCGGGGTAACCCCTTAGTCTTCCTAAGATGCAAGGGGTTAAATAAAGTGCACACGAGCCAGATATGTACACTGGTCCTTATCCGAGACGGCTTGGTTCTACTAACTGAACCCTCACATTGTGTGGATTGACACCGTGAGAAAAATGTTTATGAAATTTCAATCCAGAGCTTTGGAACAGGATGGTAAACAGTTTGAAGACCGAGCTACAGCTCCACTAAATATTCACATCTCGTTTTTTTCTTTCAGGTTACACAAAAGAGGTCCGCATACCTGGATGTCACGTCGAATACGTCCAAATGAATGCATGTCGGGGTTACTGTATGTCCTATTCATTCCTATCATCACAAGACACTTTACAGAGAAGCGGAGGACTACAAGTGTTTTCATCTTACGGTTCATGTTGTACTATTGGACAAACTCATGATGTGCGTATTCATTTTGTTTTATTATGTCACATTCCTTGCTATTAGCTCTATGATTTCATGAGTATTAGGCATATTTCTTACTACAAAAATCTTAAATAGTTTATTAATAGGCTATCCTTTCAGAAGAAATTGCATTGCCCGACCATTATTAGGCCTTTGTAAAAAAAAAAGAAGTGAAATTCAGATACAGTCATATATATATGTCTCTTATATATATAAATCATCAAAGAAAGGTAAATACAGTGTTCGAAAAAAGGACATAATAATACATCGTGTAGCATAGCTCTTAACGAATGTAGTCCTGTATATAAACGAATAAAGAAATTGTGCAATAAAATGCCTCTGGCGGGACTCGAACCTGCGACCTCTCGCTGTCAAGGCGAGCGTCATAACCATTAGACCACGGAGGCTTCATGGTTGAACAGATTCGAATACCACCAGATACACTCCGTTACACAATTATAGGTACGGCTAGAAACCAATAGTTGCATATAATATAAATCAAGATAGCCGTTAACACTGTTAAATAATATATATATATAAATCATCAAAGAAAGGTAAATACAGTGTTCGAATAAAGGACATAATAATACATCGTGTAGCATAGTTCTAAACGAATGTAGTCTTGTAAATAAACGAATAAAGAAATTTTACAGTGTTAACGGCTATCTTGATTTATATATAACCAAAAACATTAAATTGTCCCATTAATAGGGCATTTTTTGGCATGTTTTCATGATGACATGCAATAAAAACATAGAAAAAATTGGACAAATTCTCAAAATACAAATTTCAATTAAATCAATGAGAGGAGAGAACAGAACACCACTTAAGCAGATACAAAGCAAAACAACAAACCATGTTAGTACTTAAACACACCAAACTACTACCAAAGACGGATTATTTTACTTAGTTTAAAATTCTTTTTGCAATTTCAGTTACAATATTATTATTATTATTATTATTATTATTATTATTATTATTATTATTATTACGTAGTCTAACAAAAGCTCGCCCTTGACAAACAGCAGTAGAAAGGTGATAATAATTAGAAAAGTGATAAAAGTTCCTTAATAAGTTGCTCTAAGTGTGTCAATATATAAAGTTGAGTGAATTTTTCTTAATTTGAGACTGTTGTATTTGTTGTGATACAATAGAAAAAAAATAAGTATCCCCTTCATAGGGGTTATTTGGTCATTTGGCACATTCAGAAAGTGTCCCCGTCTCCTTAATAGGGATAGGGTTGTCCCAAAGGAGGGGTTCTACTGTGTATATATATATATATATATATGTTATAATAACTTTATTTGACAAAAAAAGGAGACAAAACCGGAACAGTGGCCAAAACATGGCACGTAGGTAAGAGCAACAACGAACAACGACAAAGGTTTTAAAAAGGACATACAAGATAAGAATTTTTGCTTGGGTTCCTTAATAATAGATGAGGACAATCTGAATGTCGAATAAACACGTTCTATGAGAGAAGAGTATATTATCCTCTCAAAAGATTGAGTATTTTATTTATTGTGGACAAACAGAAGAAAACGTTAAGTAGAAAATACAGAAACGATATTTAATTACCATCCTTTACCGAAACCGTATATTTTGAGTGCCTATATTCTAGAATTAGCATGGGAGAGAAGAGAATTGTCTGAGCTCGATTGTTCTGCGCATGCATCAAACTCTCACATACGTAACTGGCTATAATATTCTGGGTTACTATAACTATAACCTCATTTATGTTCATTTATATTCGTATGTCTGTCGTAATCTATTATATCTAATATAAGTGTATAGAACAAGTATGTGTGTATATAGTGTAAAAGCGGTTATAGTCATTGATCCTAAACAATGTTTGTTCTAAATTTCAGGTAAATATTGTTCTGCAATGTGTAGATAACCAAGTGTACAGGGACACATTTCGGTCAGCTAGAACATGTGAATGTTCTCTGTGTGACGTCAGTGACTGAAGAGGAGTTCGCCGAGAGATACTGTTAGACTTAGTCCATCGATAATACCTGTATGTTTTGTTCCTCTGTGTCCATTTTTAAATTATTGGAACATCGTGACGTCACGTCAACAAGCACATGATTTTACACGTCATTACTTCTATTGAAAAACCATCTTTAAACGGCAATGCATATTTTTATATAACAAAATATCGAGTTTATTCGTCCGTTGAACATTCTGTAGTAACTGATACGATTAGGCTCCGTCATACTGCGCCTACCCCACTCGTACACTCTACACCACATCTCAGCAAAGGAAAATATGTATTACCGCATTTTCTGATAATATTTGAGCAATCATCAAATATTTTTATGTAATATGAGATACATTGCACAATCTTTTGGCATGGAAATGGAGATAATTTCAATTGTCTACTGTACATTACGAAGACGAATGTGGATATCGTTTGAACTTGAGTGGCATTCTTATTACCGTAAGTGGTCGATTATGAAATACGACATTAAAATAAAATGTCAAGCTGTTTCTAAACAACAACATATTTGGTAAGGCGGTGTACAGGCGTTTCAACGTAAGGTATCATGATGTATTAAAACTAATAAACTCACGATTATGATTGATATAGTCTTAAATCCTGGCAGACGGATTTATGTACGATTGATAGGCCTATGTAATTAATGATCATGGTAATATTGTTATCTATGCCATATCACGTTTGAAGCTTGATACTACACGTTCGAGGGTAACTTAAGCTTTATTTATTAGACTAATCAATATCTTTATGAACATAGACATCAAGTTAACGTGTAAAGCCCATGCAGTAAGTTGGTCGTGTACACGGTGGCCGGATCAATATTCACTGTTGAAGAGTTTGTAGTTTATGTTTCGATTTATGTTTGTTATTTTAGAAATACATCGCACTTAAAGAAATGTCAATTTATGGTATTTTTATTATTTTGTGTGATATATTTTGTTTTTACAACGTAAGACTCTTCTGTGATGGATGGTGTATAGATGGCGTGATCGGGTAGATGGGGATAGGCTGAAATAATCTATCACTCATCTAGACAATTCGTAAGAGTAATAATAAAAACGAGAACAATGAAGATTGTGTCGGAATAATGTGTGGGAATCTGTGATGAAGATGATTGAAACTGAAATACTAATGTTGATTGGATGTAGCGATATGTGATGATGCATGTAATAACATGCGGTCCCCTTGACTTATTTGCGACTGTGATAATGCCGAACACTGCCTGACGTTAATGGTGACTCGTATAGAGGGGATGTTGTTTTTGTTTTTTTAATGCTCATTATAGAGGTTAAAATTGAACTGTGGGGTTGAACACGAATTCAGATGGTAGAGATGGAGATGATGATGATGAAGGTGTGATACAAATAAAGTTATACTGATCTACGTAAAATGGTGCTGTTTGATGGTGGTGGCGATGATGCTGCAAGGATTGCTGTTTTTTCCTTTCTGCTAATAATTTTTTATGATGATGTTTTTTGGTAATACTGATGCTGATAAAACTATGATTTAATATGACAATGCAGATGAATGATATTTCTATCTCTTATAAAATATGGTAGTACTTGATGTTGATGATGATGATTATGGTAAAGATGATAATAATGATGATGAATATAATGATATTGACAGTATAATGATAATAATGATTATGATGATATTGATAACTATCTTGTTGTTGTTGTGGTTGTTGTTGTTGTTGTTGATGATGATGATCATGATGATCGTGTAAAAATAGTTGGTGATTTGAAAATTGTGCGGCTGGTTATCAGATAAATAATAAGTATGATTCAAAAATAAATATTTATTTTGTGAACATTACTGTATTGAAATAGACATGGGTAAGGTAAAGACGATGTACATTACACAACCAATCAAATATTAAGTTAATAAATGAATCTAAGTGCTCATGAGCTGTGATTTGAAGGTTAAGGTACCCGCCTTTTAATGCCAGGGTGCTTTATCAAGAAAAATGTGGTTTATTTTTATGTGGTTCATTCCAGACCTCGTAAAAATTGAATGTTCCCATCGATTAACCTTTGCTTGCCATACTTAGTGTAAATATTGACGGGCCTATACCTATACGTATTGGTTGAAAAGATGCAACTCAATGTTAGATATCATCTGTACATAGTTTCATGTACACATTCTATAAGAAATTTATAAAGCACTATATTAAACAAATTACTGATAAACAGAAGTATCACTAAATTAATTCTAAAATGGCTTGCAATGTGAAGCGTTCCGTTGTCTTAAATCATTCTCGAACAGGTATTTTAAGATGTTCATGTCATGCAATCACTCAACCATTTTAAACGGCTATACTGCAATTAGATGTTCGTTATCATAGGAAGTTGAAATTCTCTGGAACTTGTTCACCGATGTACAATTAAAATTCATCATTTGCTCACTTTCTACGTTTTTAACTTAACAGTTTGACGGTGTAATTTCTATTTTAAAATACGCACCTACACTTTAATTTGAGCCTAACTGGCGCCATTTGCCATAAAGGGTGAATTTGGTAAATGTCAGGGTAGTTCAGGGTGAATTGAAAATCACGAAAGAATTGCCTAATTGCTGTTCTCAGAAATGTTACCTTGTTAGTGATTCGAAATTATAATATATACAATGTAAATATAATAAAATTTGGATTTTTGGTTGCTGCACCAAAGGTTGTGATGACATACTCTACATGGAGATGCTACAACGTTGGATTTTAACTTTTGCTTGCTTGCGGGTCATAAAATGTACGTCATATATGCAGGCAGTAAACGAGTATTTACGTTGGCTCTTCTCGTTTTACCATTACAAGTCAATTACTCTTGTACTTGCAATGGACGAATAACACATTTGATTTCATTAGGAATCCAACAAGTATTCGACGCTCAGACGTAATAGAACAACAGTCCATGCTTACGTGAACGTCAGTTCCAAAACAAGCCGATTAAAGAATGAATTCTGCCAACTATATTCTTATAAATATGATTATATCTAAAGATACCAAAAGTTAAGTGTAATGCAATCAGTTATTTTTACCGTATTTCAGCTATATTAACAATTAATTGCTGTAATTTATACGGTATTGACAAAACCTGTTCCAACTGTGTGTAAAATTAAATTGTTGCAGATAGGTAAATTCAATAGCGATTGACTTGTATTAGCTTACAAGCCGAAACAGTAAGTCATAAGCACCATGACCTCTCCCCATAATATAATACACACCCTAAAATAACAATACCCCAACTCACACATACATAATTATTCATCATTTGATTTTGAGGGTAAAACATACTATATAACGGTAGATTTTCAGTTATCTCGACAAGCAACACGAAGTTAGGATCATCACACTTGACCTTTGACAGACAAGCGGTGTGGCACATTTCGGTTTCCCAAACTCCAAATAGGTGTTTGATTGCATTCCCTCTCTCCATTAAGATGTTCTAAGCTTGTTCCCTAGTGTATAAATTGATTTATGTATATATTTTATTTATTTAAGAACATCTTTATACAGAATAACACAATTAAAGATAAACTGTTTTACACTAAGGTCCTGTTTAACAGATTAAAATCGCAATTTAAGGACAAGAATATAAAAAATCAAACTACAGTTAAAAAGACAAAAGAAAACAAACATCAAGATATAAAAAACAACGATTAGAAGAACAATTAAAAAATAATTGTTTTCAACAAGGCTTAAAAATAGTGTCTTTTAATTGAATTTGAATGTGTTTAAAAACAGTGATTCCAACAGCAATCCTAAAAGACTGTTTCGTTTATCAATATTTGATTTGGGAACAATAACGTTGATGGAGTTTGAATTTCTTGTGTTAAGTGAATGCCTGTCGAACACCATTTCAAGTTCATTCCAGAATCGAAATGGCGCGAGTCCATGAATGGATTTCTACATAAGACATGTCCCCACCCACCCAAAAAAACCCCGCTTTTTTGGAGCCTAATTAAACTTTTCTGTTGCTTAAGGAAGAGTTTCCCCAGATAGTTAGTGGGGTTTCTTGCTACTGCAACAAACACGACAGCAACATTTAAACTTTGGACCAAAAGACCCTAGCAAACGCTTTGTAAACAAAAGGAAAGGTACAAATAAAATACATAGACCGGAACTGCAGCTTTTGTTATACAAAGGCAGATGCTCGACTTCTCTCCAACGTAATCCAATCTGTTGTTCTGTACTGCCACATACATCAACCACCAAGCCTATTTCTGCTAGTGTATCCTAAGGAAACATTGCTTCCTGTATTTCTTTAAAAGTTTACTGACGCCTTTGTAACCCATGCTATAAATGTCCTTTATTTGTTTGCTAATGATTTAACTCTTCATGCAGTACGGACTCCTAAGTTAGTGTGATTCATACGCCAACAAATTCCAGCAGTGGTAGAGCTATTGGTGGCTGAGCCAAATCCTGGAATTTTAAACATTTATTGCCAAGAAGCCTGGAGAAGTTATATATCTCAAAGAGAAACTTATGTTTAGGCCTACAGTATTTATGCCTATCCACACATATTTATGTACCAAGCTTGAAGCCAGTCACAGTCCGTTGAATTAAAGTTGCCAAGACATTTTCATGTATGCTTAATCTTACAGGTGTAGTAAAGGCGTCAAATAATAATAATAATATCTAAATATTCAGGGCCATCTTGAATAAATGAAATAATGTGATGCTTAACCTATGTCTCGTTACAAGTAGTAAGAATAAATCAGAACCGATGAGTCTGAGATAAGAACACAAGCATCTTAACAATCACGCTACTACTTTCACTACAGTATTGCTGCCAACTATACGCCAGAATGGTAACGTATAATGCATTATAGAATATGCTTATATGACTTGATCAAATTCAGACCAAGCTCGTGGTGTGCTAACACCTTTAAAGAAATGGTGCAGACTTCTCTATTTTATTTTCCGTCATCTCTTCTTATTACCTGCAGAAATGATCTCAACCTTTTCTTAATACACAAACTATAGCTGATAGAGTCCGAGGATCACCAGTTACTACTGTAAAAATTTAATCATCACCAATGCTGCAGCTTTATTCGTTGCGAGAACTCGTAATTAACAAAAGCCAAATCATCTACTTAAGCTAAGCTGCTTCAGTATGACACTGAAAATAACAATGGAAACTATAACGATAAAGACAACGGCCATGACAACGACAACGACGGTGACAATGACGACGGCAGTGACAACATAAAAATGAAGACAGTAACAGTGACAACGAAAATGACATGGCAATGCCTCGTAAATCCTTTGCTTATAAAGCATCATTACTTGCTGATGAAATGACAGTGGAAGTGGTCGTGGTAGCGACAGTAGCAGTGGCAGTGACTGACTTTCTGGAAAAAATTAGGTTTTGCGTTGATTTGTAAACCATTCGAGCATCAATATTAAAACTTGTAAAAAGCAATGAAAACGAGGAAGCAGTGGAGATTCACGAGAAGAGGCAAGTGGAGGACCAAAGTTGAGCCAGTCGACTCTAGAATTGTATTATGACTGGACGACAGGGTTAAAGCTGATCATATAGGGGCAGGTACAGAGAGAAAATGTTTGGGGTGAGGGGACATATTTTACACGAGGCCTTAGCCAAGGATAATAGGGAAATTTAGGAGAGTTTGGGGAAATCGTCAGAGAGCTCAGACCCCGTACATTTAGAGCATTTGAGTTTGATAATGTAAATATCAATATGATCATAAGCAAAATTTTTTTTTGGGGGGGGGGCGCCTGTGGGTAATTATTTGAAATGCTTTCTGTGATACAGTTACTAAATGTGAAATACTGGGTCACCATACAAGGCAACAATACTTAATGACTGATGGTACAATATGGCTTTGTGTAAATATACATTGTATATGGTGTGATGTATAATATAAAAGATTTTGAAAATAATTT